ATCGAGACCATCCTGGCTAACACGGTGAAACCCGGTCTCTACTAAAAATACAAAAATTAGCTGTAGTCCCAACTACTTGGGAGGTTGAGGCAGGAGAATAGCGTGAACCCAGGAGGTGGAGCTTGCAGTGAGCCAAAATCGCATCACCGCACTCCAGCCTGGGCAACAGAGCAAGACTCCACCTCAAAAAAAAAAAAAAAATTATCCGGGCATGGTGGCACCAGCCTGTAGTTTCACCTACTCGGGAGGCTGAAGCACGAGAATCACTTGAACCCAAGGGGTGGAGGTTGCAGTAAGCCAAGATCGGGCCACTGCACTCCAGTCTGGGCAACAGAGCAAGACTCTGTCTCAAAAGTTAATTAATTAATTAATGAACCCCTCCTGAGGGGCTGCCCTTGACTATGGCCGAAGTCAAGGAACTCACTTTCCCACAGACCAGAAGCTGGGAGCTATAGACACAAAGATAAAAGATAACTTGAGGCTCCTACTCTCCAGAATTTCAGAACTCCCAAAATGCAGTGTGTGAAGACAGAGACTCCTGGGTCTCTTCTGTTCCCCACGGAATGTCCCTGAGTCCTCGGAGACACCCTCCTATGAGCCCCAGTCCCCTGGCTGATAATCTCCTCCAGGCCCTTCTACATCTCTGTGATCATCTCCCTGGGCACTGCCATACAACTTCTTCCCAACCACCAGTGGAGTCCCCAGGAAAGACCATCAGCCTGGCAAGGCCATCATTTGCCTGGGCATCTGATGGGCAGGCAGGGGTGCACCTTGCTCCTCGGGCACCCTTCCGGGAGGCAGGCAGAATAGAACTGACCACGCCCTAACTTTTAGTCCCCTCCTGCTCTCCTGATGGCCGCTTTAGGTTTTGCTTTTCACAGGAAGACCCTAGGGCACTGTGAAAAACCCTGCTGAGCAAGACAGCTCCCAGACCCCAGGGACCTTCAGCCCAAACCTTCCCCAGGCTGCAGAAGGCTCCAGAGATCTCAGGAGATACACTCGACATAAACAGTGATTACAGCAGTGGTGATGTAGTGAGCCAGTGCTCTATGTCCCCTGCTTCAGATCTGTGCCTTGATGGATAAGAGGCATTTGCCCCAAGGAAAGTAAATGGAAAGCTCCCAGCCCCTCCCAGGAGAGGGCAGCCCACGGTTTTCCCAGCTGCCTCCCCGCACCGTCTCATGGCTGGACAACCCTGAAGGATACCAGAGCAGGCAGCGGTTTGCTCCCCAAGCCTTGGTTTCCTCTTCTGCTCTCCTCGATTCAGAAGGGTGCAAAGCATCCTTCAGTGTCGGGGCCCCACCTCCAGGCCCTGGATGGAGAACCCCCGGGCTGAGAGAGAAGTAAAGCAGATGCTGGCCTCTATCAGGGTTGGTGCAGAAAGCCCGCTATTAACTCTTTCAGGGTTGGTGCGGGAAACCCACTATTAATTTAGAGCCTGAATCCCAACTCGGGGGCGGGGTGGTCTAGTAATTTCAGTCCTCCAGCTTTCTCATTTCCATGACTTTTTTTTTTTTTTTTATGGAGTCTCACTGTGTCACCCAGCCTGGAGTGCAATGGTGCATTCTTGGCTCACTGCAGCCTTCCTGGGTTCAAGCGATTCTCCTGCCTCAGCCTCCTGAGAAGCTGGGATTACAGGCACGCACCACCACAACCAACTAATTTTTGTATTTTTAGTAGAGACAGGATTTCACCATGTTGGCCAGGCTGGTCTTGAACTCTTGATCTCAAGTGATCCACCCCCCTCAGCCTCCCAAAGTGCCGAGATTACAGGCGTGAGCCACCGCGCCCTGCCTCATTTCTGTAACTATTATTTTGGCCTCCTCAGCACGCCTTTTCCAGGAACTGTCAATGAGTATTTTGGGCACCTACTGTGTGCCAAGTGCTAGCCAGAAAATGGGAACAAGACAGGAACAGCTCACGATCTCAAGACACTCATACTTCCGTAGGAACAACAGACACTAAACCAACGTAAGTGCACAGAGCGCCAGAAAGGGCCATGCGGGTGCCCTGCTCATGGGGGCACTGCTGTGGTGCCTCTGGTCTTGCTTCATTCATTCGCTCATTCTTCATATTTTCAGACTATATGAAGACCCCCAGAAGGCCACAGCTTCTTTTCTGGGTTGAAATTCTTCCAGGCTCTTTCTTCTGCCTGTTTTCCTCACTCTCACGAGTCGCCCGGCTGCCCCTCTCAGAGGCTGGGAGATACTGGCGGCTGCCCATCATGCCCCAGCTGCACGCGAGACACCTTCTTCCGTGCCATCTTATTTAATCCTTACAGCCTGTCCGCTCTGCTCTCCTGTCCCCACTTTACAGAAGAAAAAGGCTGGTGCTTGGAGCCTGTCCCATTCGCTTGAGTCCTGGGAGAAGGAAAAGGCTGGAGCTCAGAGCCTGTCGCATTCACTCGAGTCCCGGGAGAAGCTGCGGTCTGAACCTGATTGCAGGTCCATGTTCCTTGCTTCACGACACTCTGCCTCTCTGCTACCAGGCCTGGGCAAGAGCCGCTCCAGGCAAGGACCTCAGTTTTCCAACCCCCCAAAATGCAGACAGTGTCTAATTGCCACCCAGAGTTCCAAACCCTAGAATCCTGTCACTGCTCTTTCTTTTTGTTTTTCTTTTTCTTTCTTTTATTTTCTTTGAGACGGAATCTGGCTCTGTCGCCCAGGCTGGAGTGCAGGGGTGCAATCTCGGCTCACTGCAAGCTCTGCCTCCTGCGTTGAAGCAATTTTCTTGCCTCCACCTCCCGAGAGGCTGGGATTACAGGCGCGTGCCTCCACACCTGGCTAATTTTTGTATTCTGTTTTTTTAGTAGAGACAGGGGTTTGCCATGCTAGCCAGACTGGTTTTGAATTCCTGACCTCAAGTGATCCCCTGCCTTTACCTCCCAAAGTGCTGGGATTACAGGATGGGCCACCACCCCCAGCCTCGCTGTTATTTCTTAACCTATAAAGTGTCAGAATAGAGAACTCTCTGGAAGCAGAAGGGGAGAGAGGCACAATGCTCTCTGGGCTACCTGGTTCCTGAT